TCCATTTCCGGACCGCTAATTGCTATTAATAAAATGAGGCACTTCTTGCCAGATATTTACTTGAAATGCAAGTAACACTATCCGGATTGGTTCCTTTAGTTTCTATTCTAGTTGTGACATATATGGTGCTAATTATAAATTCTGTTTGTATTCGAATGATTTATTGCTAAGTTTAAACAATTAAACTAAATTGTTTTTTCAAGATTTTTTAAATCTCTTCTTGATTACAGCTTTCTCATTATCACATGAATCTTTATCATAAATCTTTATGCTATTTGAAAAGATTCGATTGCCATTTTCTTATAGTTCAAAATAACATGTTAATTAGTTGTCTTTTGCCAATCCTTAATACATCTGGCAAACTATCTGTGTTAATCTGTGTTAAACTATCTTGGATTTCGAATTCCTTATTGATAATTTGTGATTGTCTGTTTTTTCTAACGGCTTGTTTAAATTTAATTAATCCTATTACCACTTTAGTGGGTTTTATAAAAATTTGCTAATCAGCCACTTTCATGCTATTAAAAGAACTAAAGAAGAGCCCTGAATGCTTAATAGCTACTTTCTCAAGGGCGTTCGATTATCGAGAAATATTCGCAAATCCTGTTGTATCAGAGCTACGATTATCTAACAGTTTATAGGTACAAAATTAGGAGCTTTACAACCAGCTGATAGCGATACAGATTCCGGAATATGTGTTGATTATGATAATAACAAATTGTCACCAAGACAATTTCAAGATAATATAGCAGTAAACGATGTAAATAAAGATAAGGCATCGTAAGTTTTTTACTGGTTATTTATTCTGAATGTTACAAAAGCAATTATGAATGAGAAAATTACTAAAATTTCATTAAAGGCCGTAGTGTAAGTGGAAATTTTTAGCCTTTGGCATAGGTTGTGAATAATTTGAAATAATTGAAGTTCTGCACATTCTGGCAAAGTACCTATGCCGAATTAATTTAATAATTTTATATTAATAGCAAACAACAATTTAATGAGTGCGCTGAGTAGGAGATCAGTAATGAATAGCTATAATTCTACTGAATTCTTTTTCTACCATATGAAATTGCTAAGTCGGAAAATTACCAGGCAATTGACAAAACCTGCCTCGAGCAATGTTTCGGGAACAAATTTACGATTTAATAATGCGCAAAAAGTAAAATCGACTAGTTTGATAAGTCGAAATACTGGCAAACAATATCACGTGAGATTTGCGGATCAGGTAATCGATACTTCTCGAAGTATATACGCTATTTCATATGCCTATAGCTCAATACTTGAGTGATGTGCGATTGATTCATATATAACGATTAAGCCTTTGCCTCTTGAGAATGATAGAAGTAAGGGAGATCTGGGCCTATTTACACTAATATTCTCAATTAACCTTCAGGCGGAAGGAAGCCCTAATAGCCAACGGAGCTAGCCAAATCAAAAGTAATAAATAGAATTAGAAGGAAATTTCCTGCATGTTCAGAGGTGATTTCTGTGCAAAATAATTACCAGCGAAAATCGAAATTGACTTTGATTCGAATCCTTTCGATGCACCATGTTTGGGTGTTATCACCAAGCAAAGGAAAGCAAATTAGAGGAATAGAATGGCACAATGGATTAGCAATGGATTCACAGCATCGATGCTGAGGTTACGACAGGGATAAAATTGTTCTTTAAAAATCTGGATAATGTGGGCGATCCATCTAAACTTCCATGACCAAATGATTTCCTGAATTCATTTGGTCCGAGAAGCCAATGGATTTAGCCTAACCAGCAGTAGTGAACGAAAAAAAAGATAACTACTACTTTCAGGATTTTTGGTTTAAAAGTGATAAAAAAGCACGTAATTCTAAAGAATAAAAAGAATATTGCAAACGACTTGTTTATTCAAGAATTTTTTAAATTACTTTCTGAGATTTTTCGAGCATTCAAAAACGCAAAAAATATCTTCTTGAAAAAACCTGTTTATAGAAAAAAATGAAAAATAAAGAAGGTAAAATAAAAAGAATTATTTTTGGAAACTATTTCGTACTTTTATGGTAATCGATTTAATAAAAAATTTATTTTAAATCTCATTTTTTAAGTTCGCTATAACTAACCATTATTTTAATCGTAATTGTAGTCCCTAATTTTCTATTTTTTAAAAAGTTTTATGAAATTTTACAAAGCATGAAAATTTAACAGATTCGTTCACCAAGTGAATTTTTTATATGGAATAATGAACGGTCTACTCTTAACACAAACGATTGCACCCGTTTTGGTCATACAGGTCATAATGATGGATGCACTAATTGCCTTCCTCATCAAAAACTTAAAACCGAATTAGTAAGAAAAAGTGCCAGTGAGTCTAATACTTTTATATAATTTTTATGAATAATTTTGCAGATTAAAGCTTTTACATAGTTTTTTAATATAATTTTGATAAATAAGTTATTTCTCATTAAATATTAAATATCAAGTAAAATTTTAATAAAAATTAAGTATAGTTTTAATAAATATTGAATATAAATTTAACAAATATCAAGCATAAATATTAAATAAATAATAATAACGTGGTCTTTAAACATGATTTTGACAAATATTATATATACAGTTCTAATAGATCTTTAAATTTTTTAATAAATTATATAAATAAAAACATTTTAAAAATTTTTTACTCAAATATTAAGTTTCATGGAATAAATATTGTATAAATTTTGCTTAATTTTGCTTTTGCTTTTAACTTTTTATTGTATGAAAGTTATTACATCAAAAAAATTTTATCAAATAATTCATTTATGCTCAAATGCTTTTTATCTGATCATATTGACAATTAATCAACTAATCATATCTTCTTCCTTCTCTTTATATTATGTAAGATAAGGGCTGAGGTAAATCCAGAATTTTGTAAAGAAAATCAGTCGAATATTTTTTTAAGAGTCCTCATCATTACTGATTAAATTCGCTCCACTGGCTTGTCGCAATTGGGCAATATGCCAGGGAGCCCGTTGGCGATAGAAATACAGGTGAGTCGCCAGCATCACCTGGATTTTTGTACAGGTTTACTCTTGCGAGAGCCTCAGCATCGGCGCTCAATTGGGCAACAACCCACTGAGTCATTCTATCCTATCTTATCCCTATCCTAATCAGTGGACTATGAATTATTATTTATGAGATATTTATTGATGACTGCAATTTAATTGTTAAAAAAACATTTTTGTATTTTTTGTCAGTAAATTTTTGTATTTTTGATTATATAATGCTAAATGAGAGGTTAGAATTTGGCCGAAGTCGTCAAATGTCGTCTTCTGATGACTTCTATCGCCAAGAGATTTCTGGCATCTTTGTATAATTCCATAAGCTAGCAGAGCGAATCTAACCAGCAATGAAAAAAAAGCAAAAAAAAAAGCAAAATGTCGATAAAACAGAATAGCAGAGTTGATAGTGAATTAAATCTTGTATAAGGATTCGCATCCCACCTCCAAAGCGATGAACCTATCATTAAAATCCAAGTGGTGTTAACAATCCATTTTCCTCACCAATTCCATCGTCAAGTCGCTAATAGCCAGTGAAGCGATGCTAACCTGAAATGGTGAGAGCAACTACTTATTATTCATTTTTTTGGATCTTTACCTAAAAATAAAGTCTTTTCTTTTAAAAAATCCTTTCACTAATTGTGAAAGTTATGGAGAAATTTGACAAAATTTTAATTTTTCAATCAAAATTTGAAATTTTTTGGGATTTTTAATAGTACATAAGTGACCAAATAATTGTAGATAATTCAAGTAATTATTACGATTCGTTATCAATCAACGATGCAAGATTAAAATCAGCTCCACCAAGTTATGAAGATATTGTGAATAGATTTCATAGAAACGATCGGAGTTTTCGAGTTGATGTAATAGTACTTTTTATTAAGAATATGATTTTCGTAACAAAATATGTTTGGAATATATGTTTAAAAATATGTTAGAAACTTTATCTTAGCAAAATAGCGAATTTTAGCAGATGTTCCATAAAATGAGCGAAATATTGCAAATATATTTTACAGCATAAATTTTTCATTGAAGGAAACTCCACGAGCAAAGAAGCGTTATCATAATAGATCTTCATCACTGCCTAACAAAAATTATTCTCCAGCATCTTACTGTAGTACAACAGCTAACCAGTGTCTCTTGAATTTCCCGGTAATTGGTTTATTCAATCCTTCTGGATCCAAGATTTGAGTTCTGGAATTTTTCTCTAATTCCTTACTGCCTATCGAATTTTAGATTCCAGAGCTGTCAGATAATCCTCTAGCGCATTTATGAAATGCATAAATGCTTTCATAATTTTCATGTTTCTTGACATATGCTTAGCATATTTCTAGCCATTTGATAGCTTTATGTGATTCGATGATAAAATCCTACAATTTTATTTAAATTTCAGTTAAGTAGTAAACTTATCGAAAATCTCATTCCAATTTCAAAAATTATATATTTTGAAGGTAAAGTTTAAATATTTTCAGGATTATAGTTTCCCGGCTGCTCATTTAAAACATATGTGGTACGCCAACGATTTCGGTAATAATTCCAAATCAAATTCATCTACTCGCTATCTTCCACAACTTCCATTATATTCATTATCAAATATGCTACGTTTTACTCCACAATTTGTTTTTAGGCAAAGGTTAGTCCGGTTTTTTTTTAATCTATGGACCTTATGTATAAATATGTATAAATGAATGTATTTGTCCGAATGAAAATAAAACTATCAGAGATACAAAAAAGAATATGTTTTCAAATGGAATGAGGTCGAGAAGTGTTGCGCATCTTCCTCGATGTATTTCAAAATATGAATTTGATTGTAGCAAAAATTATGACCTTATTCATTTCAGGTGAAATTTTTCGCTATGTAAAATATTGATAAAAAATCACTAGAGATTTCCACCAAATAATTCTTATATTCAATTTCTTAAAGTTGAATGGATTAGTTAAGGAAAAATAGAAAAATGATTAGGGCCTACCTTTGATGTCATTTGTAAGTAATTCTCTTTACGAACGAATCCAACTCCTATTAGTCAGAGGAGCCAGCCAAAACCCTAAAATGATGATAAATATTAAATGATGATGATCGTCAAATAAACATTATTTTATGATAAGTTTCAGATCACGAGCTCAGATTCCTTTTGTTCGTACTCAACTGATTTCATTAGATCGTCATGGCCTACGCACAGTTCAAGTCGACAAATTAAAACCAGGACCTTTTGGTTTTTATATAGCAACAGGTTTAATAAATAACCGACAAGGTTATTCTGATGATTGTAAAGCCAATTTCAAACTATAACTAAAAAGAATAACAAACTTTTAGTCTTCTTCTTCTAACAGTTCTTACTATTATTGATTAGGCTGACTTCGCTAGGTATAAGATACGTCTCCAAGTTGCCGGTCCTAAGCCATCGCTAATAGTAATAGAAACCATTCCTTTTTCCATTGCCTAAATCCATATATCGCTGGTCCCCCTATATGTTCAAAATCTTTCCTGACTGTATCAGTCAGTCCAGGTCTTCATTGGCCGTCCTTGCTTTTGACGCCAACCATCACGGGATTCGGCGAGTAGCGAAATATGCGTCAATTCCTGTAGTGATGACAAAGAATGTGCTCTAACCAGCAAAGGCGACGCTCTGTGATAATATTATTAATATAGATGGTATTTGAGCGAAGATGGAAATCATGCGATTTAATCCGCTCGACGAATGTATCTTAGACCAACTTTTAGTGATATTTATAAATATGAATAAATATTAAATATTATATGGCATTTTTCAAATGATATTTAAAAATAGTTGAAAGTCAGTGATTCAGGATAAAGATAGCAATTAAAATTTCCCATACGTATGCGGTAAATTGCTGGAGCGGTGTATTGCTTCAACTGAGGTTGTTGAGCATTATAGGCCCCTTAAAAAGAGAAAATTTGTCATCAAAAATAAAATCCGAATGGTTTCATAGATTTAGCTTAAAAAATCACACCACGCACCCCTCAAAATCAATTTCATGAAATCTTAAATTAGTTTAACATCGTTAAAACACCCTCACATTTGATTAAATATTTTATAGATTTAAAATTATTCGAATTCGTTTATTTTTTTAGGAATATTTATTTCGCGCATTTCATTGCCATCACTAACGTCGGTGCTTTCAGCTGGTGATGAGATTGTTTACATTGAAAATGAACTTGTGAAAGGTAGAACTTTAGAATATGTGCAATCTCTTTTAGCGGACAAAACAAATATAAAAATTGTATTATCACCTGCAAATTGTCCATCAATTTGATAAAATTTTTTCATCTCATTTCAAAATATTTTCAATTTTAAAATACAGCATTTTTTAAAAGATTTTTTTTAAAATTCTTATCAATTCTTATTCGCATGCAGTTCAATAAAAATTCACTTATCTCATATGCTTTTACACAAATCATAAATATTTTAAAATAATTTCGAGCGATTCCGAGATGACAACTATAATTTCAATCGCAAATTTTTATTAATTATTACAAATTATTAATTTCGATATTAATTCGTAAAAAATTAAGTAGAAAAATTTCTTATTCACTTCTTGTCTTGGTGAGAATAAATTTAACACATTGAAGTTGAATTCGAGTGGCTGCTGACGCCAATCTATATTTTTTCTTCATGTGATTTTATGGCGAACCTAACTTAATAAGTTGATTGGAACCAATTAATTTTTTTTTCTTCTTATTTCTCACCAGCCTTTGGTCGATTTCCCTCGCTATCAGGATGAGACTCCTTTGTCAGAGAATCATTTGTGGATAAAAGCATAAATGGCTCTTAAGCTTCTACCAGACTTCACAATTATTGATACCGACCTTAGCCGAAGCAGCTCGACATCAGATCTGCAATTCATTTATTAATATTAACTCAAGGTTAATATTTTACTGATCAAACATCGTTATTCATTATGTGGTCGTTCATAACCGAAAACATCACAAATCATAAATTTAATTCGATTGTGAAAATACAAATTTGTTTTTCTTCGATTCAATGAAATGCAGGGAAAGAATTTAGAATTTAAAAAGAATTTAAAGATGAAAATCCACCAAAAGTTTGTAAAACTTTTATTTACGGATTTTAATCTTCCATAAAAATATATTTTTATTAATGATATAGCACTGCATATAAATATATTAATAATAAATCAACAAGTTAAATTTTAGTGAATACGTTCTAAGATTTTGAACAGAGGAGTAAAGTCTCTTAGCATTTCAGCGGTCAAGATCGAAACCCTTGCAAATATTACCGCAGAATAAAATAAAAATTGAAAAAGGCAACAATTATGTCTAAATCTTCGGCTTCTATTCCTAACAGGGGCGAGGTGGTATTTGTTTCCCACCTGTAGTTCAATCAATCACCTCCTAAAAATTTCTAACCGTACTAATTAACCGCGAGGTCTTATTAAAAATAATGAGCGCTAACCACTTATTTAATCACTGCTGCCACTGAGTTTTTCGTCTTCGACTTTTTTAAATCCACTGGAAAATTCATCTTTGGTTATACTTCATATAAAGAAATATGATTCTCTTAAATTTTGAATTTATAATTTGAATTCTTATAACGAAATTCCTTAGTAAATCAAAGATATATCATTTTTATGAATATTATAAATATATTATAAAAAAATATTATTCTTTAAAGAAAATGAAGCAATTTCGCTTTTCCTGTAGGTGTTATTAAAAACCACTTATGCTTCTACGCTGTGAACAGATTTCATCTTAACAGCCAGTGTAGCCAGCCAAACCAGAAATGGTGAGTGCTATTATTGAGAAAGATATTTTCGTCTAAATGCGATTTCTCTTGGCTGAAATCTCTTATAAACGATTCATTCACTTCATAGGCGCTAACCACTTATTTAATACTTTTGTAATATTGTAACTTATTATTACCAATATATCACATAATCATTTTGTAAAAAGTTAACCATGACGAAATAAAAAAAACTAAAGAGCCTAAAAAAATACAAATATGTATAAAATAAAAAACTGTGCCATAAAAACAATTATCCATTCTTAAAAATTGAAATAAAAATACATTTTCGAAACAAAAAATTTAAAATAAAATATAATCTGACCCAATATAATGAAGCAAGAGAGGGGTTAAATAATGTGCAGAGGAGTTACAGATAGTGAACATAGCAATATGTAAAGGTATGGGAACGTTAATGTAGCAGAAATCATGTCGCAGATGTAATATTATTGCCATTAATTTAAAATAAAAGTAGAACACGGAAAATAAAAATACTATACTTTTATACCGACATAAGCAATGAACAAAAACGAATAATTATCATTTCGCAAATCTTTCAAATGAAATTCTTCGAAAATTTGTTTTTTATGAAATGAGCTACCATTGATAAAAAACCACTGACTTACTAAAAATACTCATTCGCATTGTTTTAAAATAAAAATGATTTCATAGAAAAAAATAAGAAAAGCAAATTTAACGACCCTAATAGCTTATTACCAGTTTCTAACTAAACTAATTAAACTACTTATTTTTAACTATTCTTATTTATATTTAGAAACAAAAAATCACTGGCTTATTTTGTTTAAATACTCATTATTCATTATTCATTACCAAATATTATTGATGCAATAAAAATAGTGCCAGTGCAGCGCAAGATATAAGAAACTGATTAAATATTGAAGTGATACTGATGCTGATTAATAAAAAAAAGTATTTTAAAAATGATTATTAATTTGGTTATTATTAGTAATTATCAATTGACTATTGAGTTATTGTTACGAAAATTATCATTCGCCATGCCAAGAAGATTAACCAATTATTACTATGATTAAAATAGAATTAAAACAAATAAATATTATGCGCAAAAGGACCACTATTTAATATTAGAAACTGTATCATAAATTGCTTGAGCAACATAAGCGACATTTGTAGGATTCAGACCGCAAATATTTATTCGACCATCTTTCAAGAGAAATACTTTATGCTCTTTTATCAAATGACCCACTTGTTCAGCTGTAATGAAACGAATTTAATTTGCAATGGCATTGACTCAAGATAAATTTAAGATGGGAAATCCTGTTAAATGAATTTTTGAGTGAAAAAGGAGTATCTGGAAGAAACAAAATAATTTCCCATTCACTACATTCAAATATTCACTAAAAATCGTGGCAAAACAATTATTATCAGTTTGTAGAAAATTTTTTTGTAAACTTAGGATAAAACTAAGAGTTTAAAAAAAAACTGAATAAAATTAAAACTGACGGGTCAATCCAGTATAAGAAAACATCCCAATTTGTTGTGTTATATGTTCCCATTTTCCTGGTGTTTTCAATTTTTCAAGGTTTTCACGCAAAGCCACTCGCATTGATTTGATTCTCGATGACATGATCTATGAAATTCATTCCGTCAAACTACAAGAAGCGATTAAGGAATCCGTATTCCTATGGGCATAAAGATCTAAAGATCTAATCAGAATATCTGCCTAACTTGCATTATTCGTTAGTAACTGCGCAACTGTAAGCGACCGGCATGATCTATATCCGCTTTAAAGATAAGTTTTGTAATATCTCAGTCATGCTACAACTTTATCGGCCATGATATAAAGATAAATTCTATGCGGAATACCAAATGCTAACAAAACATAACAAGGCCATAACCAGAGAAAATTGGAATGCATGCGTGGATCATAATGCCGCTGCGATGACCTAGACGAATGACAAATATGGAGACCAATGCACCAATGGGGAACGCTTTTTTGTCATTCCGAAGAACATGAACTTTTCGTTACTGATACTTACTTCTGGCACTGTCTTCTTCTTCTAGCAGCTCTCATTATTAAGGCTGGTTCCAGTGGCCACAAAGGTAAGACGCTTCCAAGCGGTGCGGTCTGATGATATCGTCGACAGTAATGGAAGCCATTCCTTTTTCCATCATCTAAGTCCATATATTGCTGGTCCACCTATATTCAAAATCTTCAAAATCTTTTCTCACCGTATCAGTCCAGGTCTTGATTGGCCCATTTTTGATGCCAACCATCACACGGTTTAGCAAATAACGAAATATGCGTCAACTCCTGCGGTGAACGACGGAGAATGTACCCTAACTACCGAAGGCGACGCTCTGTGATAATATTATTAATACAGGTGGTGTTTGAATAAAGATAGATGCGATCATGTGATCTTTTATCTGCTCGACAAACCCGTAAAATATACAAAGACAAGAGTGATCAAAAGCAGATAACTTCTTAATATCCTCCACTCTCATTGGTCATGTCTCAGAACCATATAACAAGATCGAACGGATATATAGATTATATACAGATGCGGACTTTTGTTTTCATGGTAATTTCATGACGGCTCCATAAAGGTTTCGTCAATCGAAAGAATATTTTTAGCTGCCGTGATCCGGTCTATAATATCGTCTTTTGCCTGGCCATTTGGTATTAGAGTGGACCCAAGGTATTTGAAATTGAGCACTTCCTCAACCGGCAATAAATTTATAAAAAGAGGCATTTTATCAGCTTCTTGCACATAAGACGAAAAAAACTTTCGTTTTATTTACATTGATCCTGAGTCCGATTCTTACTGCATTTTCTCACACGTTATTTAGTATTACTTGCATTTCGTTATAACTGTCAGCAAAAAGGACTACATCATCAACGTATTCAAGATCTATGATACGATGCTCTGGACTAATTCAACCACTTCTGGCATCGTAGAAAATATTTAATTACATGGAACATCCAAGATAACCAACATTTCAATCTGATTACCTATATTTTAATCAGTCACCATTAGAAGAGTTCCGAGGCCAGATAATCGTTCCTACCGAGGCGCAGAAACGGGCAATCTTCATGGATCTGACCATATTATGGTCCAAGCCAAAATCCGCAAAACTAACTCGCAAATTAACCAAGATCTTTCAATTACTTCAAGCTATTTAAGGACATGAGCACATTTCAAACAGAATTACTGAAATATCTCAATGGTATAAATATTAATGACTGCCCTGGAACGGCAAATGAAACTGGTCCAAATTAAAGGCCTCCTCAGCAATTTCAACGCTAGGGCATGCTAGTATAAAATGCGTACTGGAAGCAACTGTCCAACTGTCTGAAAAAGCTGCCAAAGTCAGATGATCCTGAATACCGGATACTTCGAAGATTTGCAACGAAAGCAGCATGGCGGGATAGAAATCATTAATGGAGCAACATGGTCTTGAGAATGGAGACGGTGGCTCAATTAGGCGATAATAGGAAACTATTCCGCCTTCTTCATAAAGCAACTATAACTCGAGGAAAGGTCAATGAAATAGTAAGGGGTAGCAATGGTGTGCCCATTAAGAGCATGAAAGATTATCACATAAGATGGAAAGAATTCTTTGAGGACAAACTTAACCATGATCAGCCATCTATTGATTCAGATATAGCTGATAAGTTCCTCGAACCACAGGTTTGTAATTGCGAATCGTCAACAGAAGAAAAAATATTCTCCGTTATCCATAAGCTTAAGACCAATAATGTTTCTTGGTAAAGCTGAATTCTTCAAATGTTGTCCATTGTTCATAACGCACCTTCAACAAATATACTTTCTGGTATGAAAGAAATATGACTGGAGCAAAACAATTCTGGTCCCGATTCTCAGGAAGAAAAGTGACATGATATATTGCAATAATTATCGCAGAATCAGCCTACTAGACGTCTCAGCGTAAATTTTTGCTTGCCTTTTATCCAATAACTTATGATAGTACGGGCCAGCAGGATGCACCCTAATCAAACTGGATTCAGACTGAGGCGCGGTTGCGCTGACCAAATATTCACCTTAAGAAGGATGTTGGAACATTGCTTCAAATATTTACAATACATCGTCAAGTGTTTCGACTTTGCTGCTGCCTTTGATTCAATTGATAGAACGGCGCTTTGGCGGGTGATAAACGCAACGGTATTCCAGAGAAGATCGTTGGACTCATAGAAGCATTTCAAGGTATTTCAATGTATGTCGCTGCAGGCCTATGCATATAGGGAATCAACTGATCCTTTTGAAATAAAAACTAATGTCCGTCAAGACTGCGCTCTTTCCGCTATAATATTCAACTATGCGAGAAATTGGATTATGGATACCGCTCGTCGACATTCAGGAGATATACAAATTAGTCGAGAGCATCGTATCACAGATTTTGAATAGGCTGATAATGTAGTCCTTTTTGCTGACAGTTACAATGCAAAAAATATTAAAAAATGCACCAACAACTTCAACTTGGACTCAAAATCAATGTAAATAAAACAAAAGCCTTTTTATTTTGTATACAAAAATCTGATAAAATGCCTTTTATAAACTCTTTAAGTGCCAAATTTTAAAAACCTTGGATCCATTCTAACACTGAATGGCCAGGCATTAGACGAAATCACAACCCAGATAACGGCAGATAGAAATGCGTTCTATCGATTGACGAAACCTTTATGGAACCCTCGCGAAATCAGCATAAAAACGAATTGCGGTGTCTTATATAATAGGGATTCGTTCAATGCTATATGGCTGCAAGACATGGCCAATGAGAGTGGATATCTGCCTTTGACCACAAATGTCTAAGGTATATTTTATGGTTTCGCCGAGAAAGTAAAATTCCACATTACTGCATCCACCTCTACTCAAATATCACCTGTATTAATAATGTCATCGCCTTCGTTGATTAGGACACGTTCTGCGTCGCTTATTGTAAAAGTTTCAAAAGTTAATTTCATTATTTGTGATGGGTGGCATCAAAAGCGAGGAGGATCAATTAAGATTAAGACCTGGAATGACACGGCAAGGAAAGATTTTGAACGTACAGTCGACGATAGCATCAGACCGCGTAGTTCAAAAACGTCTTATCCTTGTAGCCAGTGCAGTCAGCTTAATCAGTAATGGTTAGAGCTGTTAGAAGAAAAAGTGAAATTAATTAAGCAATTATTAAACATTCTCAGAAATAAGAAAAGAAAAAAGGAAGAAAAATTTAACAAAAATATTCAATAAACCTCCAAAGAATAATTATTGAAAATTAACTGTCCCATAACTGTACGGTTTTACCTTCATAGAGTCAAGCCACTGTTGACGCATTGCAGGTGTTGTAAGTATCATAGCTACAATCCTCGAACCATGACTTGGGGGATTGGACCAATTCGCTCGAATCACCAAAGACATCTGAGATTTAAAAGCAGGAAGCACTGACGGATCATTAACTACAACCGTCAAATTTCCAATTCTTTCATCTAGACAAGTCTGATTAATTTTAGTAATATAGCTAAACAAAATTTAATAATAAAAAGCCTTATTGAAAGTCGAAAGAATGTACTATAAAGGCCAAAATTTTTGGCAAAAGATTGAGCGACAAACAGTTCTATATTTTGTTCAACAAAATAACGAATTGGCCATGAGTCAGCATCCAAATCTCCACTCGCAAATCCCTGATATGCCAAGTCGAAAAATGGAAATAGATTTTTCTTCTAAAAACACTTATTAAAGAAAATAAATAAATAAAATGCGTATTTAACGAATAAATTGCAGAAAATCAACCTTATGTGAAAATAATATAAATATATGAATTAAAATTCAACAGAAAAAAGGAAGAAATGCAAATAAAAGAAACTTTAATAATTTGAGCGATAAGTTTCCACTGATCATGAGTCGGATCCATGCCAGTGGGATTATGCGCACATCCATGTAAAATAATTATTGATCTGAAAAATTTGAAATCTAGTCAGAGATTCGGTCTAAAATCCAATTCATTAATAATCATTTTAAAATATTTTTCATTTTCTTAAAATTATTATCATTGAACATCTTCACCTTTAAATTATAGAAATAGAAATAAACACGAAATACAAAAATATAAAATATAAAACAAAAAATATAAAAAATTAAAAAATAAAGAAATGAAAAGATAAAAGAAATCTGAAAAATAGAAATAAAAAAGTTGAAATTTAATAGAAAAATTTTTTCAGAATTTTCAAATTTTCAGAAAGACATCATGGAAAAAATTCCTAAACCTTTCAGAAGCAGATTCTAAATCTGCAGCGAATGCTTCTATATCGACACATCGACCGACTGCATCCCAATATCTATATTCTCGAATGTCAGTAAAACCAGCTCTTTGCAACAACAACTTATGATTGCCCCTGAATTTTATTTATTTTAATGAACTCTAATGAATCACCTGAAGGCATTCTATTGTAAAAAGAGAAGAAATATAAGGACACCATCAAAATTAGAACTTGCAATCTATCCAAAATTAAAATGAATTAAAAATAAGTAAAAGCAAAATGCGAACCATGTTGGTTTCGAAATATAAACGATATTCAACTTAGAAACAATGTGCAGAAAATCCGCTCCAGCTTTAAGTGATCCCGTACCAGACAAACACTGCACACCTGCCACCTTAAACATTAAAAAAACTGTTGGAAATTCCAAAAAAGCAAAATATAAAAAAATAAAGGATTTTATAATAAAACTGATATAAAAACTGAACAAGACACTAAATAACCAAATGCATAAAAAAAACCTTTGAAGCTTTAATTGCTGGCGAATCAGCACCAAGAACCAACTCAACAGCAGCGTTACAAAATGTTTCATTACCCAAAACCGGCAAATATTCATGATTTATTTTTAAATCTTCAGCTAACTTTTTTTCTGCTTCTCGAACGACAGGCAGTACCCACGGTTCACCATCTTCAGTACGATATGCTATAAAGATTTAATTTTTTCATTTTTTTTCAAGTTTTTAAATTTTGGTCTGATACGATACAAAAAGGTACGATAAAAAAGACAAAACAGGCAAAACAGGCCAGTGAGTGCCACTTAGATTATCATGTCGAGTATATATCAAGCATATGTCGAGAATATGATTTTCGTTTCGGGCAGGACAATAAGAAAGCAGAGGGCCGATTTTTGTTGATTTCTACCGCTAAGTGAATTTTTGGTAAGAATTTCTTATCACCGAATTTCTTCGTCATCAATCGACTGGCATTGTGCCAGTCAAATAACTAATAACTATCAATTTTTTGTGTGGCGTAACCAAAATCTCTTAAAATAAATCGGCTTGACCTATGACCTTTCGAGACAATCAGTCAGATGACGCAATGGCCACGATTCAATTAATGCACCTCTCAGGCAATCACCGCGGAATTCGCCTCTGGTTCCCCTCATCTATTCAATTAACTGGTGAATAAGTCAGTTGGCTAGCACCTAGCAACTTGCAATCGTCCGCTGATTCATTAGTTTTCCACGTGCCTAAACATCGATAAAACTACGGCGAAGTTAAGGCAAATTAGCTTTTCATTTTCCATTTTTAATTTATTAATAATACGCAACGAATATTATTGATTTTTCAATGAATAAAAGAGAAATTAAAAACCTCCAATAGTTAAATTCACTTTTCGCGGATCTTTTTCATCCAAATACATTTTATTCATGAAAAAAACTTCAATCGGCGGCGCAATGTCGACGTTCGAAAATAACGAACTCATTTTCCTGCAACACTATTTCGTTATTGCATAAATAAATTTGCAGCATGCAAGCGCACTTCTAAACGACAGCCGCATTCACCACTTCTGCTTTCATGTAATGGGAACTTTTCGTCAGAGAATCCACAAAGTACAAATGGAGTCGATGCAGCCCGTTCGAGTGATAGATTTGCTCGCATAGAAAAGATAACAACCGAAATACAACCAATCGTCTAAACAGTCCAAAGGAATACTAAACGTTCCAGCAAACTTTAAAATTATTGAAAATTATCATCCTTTTCACCCAATGAAAATTCACTGATAACTGATGAACGCAAAAAAGCCCAAAACAAACATCATTAAGTGAGACGAACGACAAACGAAAAAACTCGGTCCGTGTAAAATGTGGGCAAAATTAAAAATTCGTCACGAGGATAAATTTTATTTGAAGCATTAGTGTTAGTTATTTGGGGTCGACCTGGAGTGGCGCTGCATCCAGGCCTCAGATCTCTGTCCACGTCTTGTTTCACATCCTGCCATCCAGCTCTCGTCTTACATTTCTGCTGCGCAGGTTTCATCTTACATCCCTACTACCCAGGTCCTGTCCTAAATCCCTTCTTCTTCTCTAATAGCTCTTATAGCTTTATTACTGGTTAGGCTGACTTTACAAAGGTAAAACGTTTCCTAGCCGCGCGATCTAACGCCATCGTTGACAATAATAGAAGCCATTCATTTTTCCATCGTCTAAGTCCATATATTGCTGGTCCACCTATACGTTCAAAATCTTTCCTGACCGTATCAGGGCAATCCAGATCTTGATTGATCCATCTCGCTTTTGATGCCATCTATCACAGGACTTAGCAAGTAACGAAATATATGTCAATTCCTTTGGTGGGCGGAGAATGTGCCCTAATCAGCGAAGGTCGAAGATTTTCTATAATGGTAGTGTTAGTGGTATTTAAACGAAGGTGGATAAGATTATGTGAAATGATTGGTCAAAGATAGTATCCTCCACTCTTAATCTTAACTTCATAATATCCTTCACTTTCAATCCAGCTTGATTAGGTCCCATTCTGCTACACTTCACTGTCATAAGTGGATAAAAAGGAAGCAAAAATTTCTGCTTAGACGCCTAATAAGCTAATCCCTGTCCTATTATCTTTCTTGGGAATTGGGAGCAGAAATGCTTTGATCCAGTCATCTGGTAGTATTTTTTTCTTTCTCACCAGAAATTATATTTCTGCGTTATGAAGGACGATGGACAACATTTGAAGAGTTCAGCCCAAAGAAAATCTTCCCCAGAAACATTATTGGCCTTAAGTTTATTGATAACGTAGGTTATTTTTTTTATCATTTTTTCTGTTGGCAGTTTGCTATTGCAGACGTGTGGTTCGACGAACGTATTAGTTATTTTTTCTGCTGTTTTCCCATCTTAAAATGATATTTTATATTTTATATTATTTTTTTCGTCAATTATTAATTAAGCATCAATTATTTTTCGAAGCATCAAAATATTTTTTCAGCATTGCAATAGGCGAACAATTAAATGATATTAAGAATGATGGCAAGTTAGTTTGCAAATTGCAATTTTTGCTCATTATAACTCCATAGTTGCGGATAATGCAGAATCGAAAATTTTCTCGACATAGAATTTTAAAACCGTTTAAAAATAGAATTGAAAGCTTTCGTATTAAAATACAGAAAGCGTTCGTTCGGTCTCTTTCTGAGTACAATACAACCTGTTGCTCTCCTAAATACCGCAAATTAAATAAATGAATTGAACGACTCCAAAAATACTTTGTCGCCTCTCACCAAATGGTAATCTCAATCATAAAGCATAACTTCATCTAAGACTCAACCTAGACTCACTCTTAGTTCGTCGAATAAAGTTAGATTTTATTTATGTTTATAAAATTCTATGTGTTATGTGTCAAATTAGATTGTTGAAAACAATTTTCGGTTAAATTCCACTCCAACAAGATTCATTGGGGTAAATTATTAAAACCTAAATGCAGAATAAACTAAAAACTCATGGTTTTTCATTCATTAATATTTTCATTCATTTTTCAGTTGCACCAGTAATTACTGGAATATGCTATCGAACGATGTAATTTGTGCATTATCCTATTTTTTAAAAAAATTTAAATACTGTCATCCACGATATTACTTAAAAGATTCACATTACGATAGTTGTTTGAAATCATTTTTTATCTTGATTATCTTTTATCATCTGATTATCTATCAGAAATACATTCAGTTCGAATTGCACTATCTTATAACTCTTTTTTATTTATTTATTTATTTATTGATAACCATCCAAGCAGGGTGACAAAGCCATGTGCTTGTATTAATAATAATAATTAAGATAACAGAAAAAGAAAACACCAAAAAAAAAATATAACATAAACAAAATTAATTATAAAACAATATGATAAAAATTAACAATTTAAAGAGGAAATTACAGATCAATATAATATAGTACAATTCGAGGTAACATATATAACCTGAAGATAAAATCGAGATTTCTCACTTCCTGCAGTTCTTGCCTGGTGTAAACTCTTCTCTTTTTTTTTTTTTTTTTAAATAATATTTTAAATAATATCGTAAATGATATTATCTAGTCTTTTTTTAAAGACAGCTAGGGATGACGCACAAGCTACATCGTTCGGTAATTTGTTCCAGTAGTTAATAGTACGAATAAAGAAGTCATGGGTCCTTAGTTTAGTTTTGCATATAGGTTTTAGTAATTTTAAGCCATTAGTTCTTGCTGGATTCAAATTTAGTCTAAAGTTATAATATTTCGAGCAATCTAGTTTAACATAACCATACAGAATCTTATATGTGTAAATTAAATCTTGTTTAATTCTACGAACTGAGAGAGAATCCATGTTATGTTGTAGAAGTGTTCTTTTATAATTAAAATTATAATTTTTATTAGGAGAGAGGCGTCTTAGAAAATATTTTTGGAGTCCTTCGATTATTTTGCCTGTTTTGCGATGTCTAGGGGAGTAACATATAGTATTGTAGTCAAGAAGAGGCGGAACGAATGCTTTGTATAATTTGATAAGAAAACTTTCAGTTTTGTTCTTAAACGAGCGAAAAATAAAATTTAGTATCCTTGAGGATTTCTTTACTATGGTTCTGCAGTGAAGATCGAAATCGAGATTTTCATCCATGATTATTCCAAGATCGGAGATGTGTGAGACTCTATTGATTAAATTACCATTTATAAAAAGGTTAGGAAGATCAAATCCTTTAGAGTTGATGTGAAGAACGCTAC